TGCAAATGTACTGTCCCATCTATGGTTTTTCCTTTCCACACACATTAGCATGAATATAGCCTAATGAAATTCCCTTATAACTTTGTTAGTATTATTCCCCAAATCCCCAAGCTCATAAAAATATAAATGAAAAGAATATGGATTTGGTATTCATATTTGGGCCTATAAGTCAGTCAGGAAGCTAACTTTGTATATACCCTGAGGCGGGGATCTAATATTTTAATGGGTACCCAACCATCCCAGCACCATCTGGAGTTTGCCAGATAGTGAATAGGGAAGGAGATTTATACAAGCAGGCTCTCAACTTCAGGCTGAAGACACCTGTGACTCAATACTTATGCACTTATAATGTTCTAGAGTTCTAGAACCTTCAAGGGATGGTTAGATAGCATTTACATTGTGCCTTTTACAGCTCACAGCACACAGGAAAATGCTTACTAAATAATTAGATAAGAGCCTTATATAAGTCTCCATCACCTCCAAGGTGCCTCTGGCACTTACTAAATAATTAGATAAGAGCCTTATATAAGTCTCCATCACCTCCAATTCCTATTCCAGGAAGGGTGGGCAGATGGTATGACCCTTCTTTTGCTTCTGTTTGAAATGTCCTTCTCCCCCTCCTTACCAGTCAGCAAACTGGCCTAAATTGCTGTTTCTAATTTCTTCAGGCACAGCACAATGTCTTCCTTCTCTGTACCTACACACCACCTTTGGGTCTTTGCATGGTAACTACAGAATTTCCTTATAATCAACAGGGTGTCAGCACTCGCTTCCTAAACTCTTCAGCAAAACAGAATTCAGTCCTTATGGGTTCAGAGTCAGAATCTTTCCACCACACACTGCGTACCGGCTTGGGAAGTGTGTATGAGCTCCACATGGCCATCTTCATAGCTTTGCCGTATCCACTGATGTATTCCCTATGGTAAAGGAGACAGTGCTCTTTGTTCTTCTGTGTCACCCTGGGCCTTCCAAATGGCAAATTCACTTTCACTGTTGCTGAGACTAAAATAAAAATGATATAAAACATTTGTGATATCAACAAAACATCACACAGTCATTGCCACTCTCCAATTGTGGATTATATGTCAAGTAATTGGATTAATATTTTACAGCAACTGTATGAGATAGGTTATCATTTCATTATGCCTATCATAAAAGTAAAGTTCAGACAAGTAACTGGGCAAAGCCAGGGGCTCAGAAAAGAGCTGAAGCCTGTCTTCTTTAGCTCCTTGAGAGGAGCTCACAAGATAAAGCTTAAGAAGAAAAAAAGACTCAAAAACAAAAGGGCATATTTTACAGGGCAGATAATCTACCTCAATAATTGTCATACTCATGTTTGGATCTGAAGCCTTTAGGTGGTGATTCAGGTCACAAAGTGTAACCCTCATAAACAAGATTTGACCCTCAGGGGTGAGACCGTGAAGTGATTTATTACTCATTCCTGCTATGTGAGCTTAGGATGAGGAAGCAGGCTTGGGCTGGCATGGAATCTGCTGGCACCTTCACTTTGAATTTCATTTCCAGACCTTAGTGAAGCAAATTCCTGTTGTTAAGTAACCTTGTTTACAGTTTTTTAACATCCTGAAGAGCTGAAGAAAGTTTATTTTTATTGATTGATTGATTTGTGTTTGTGCTTATGTCCTGTTTTATAACTCAGCCATAACATCTTAACAATATCTAGAAAAATTATATTTGAACTGAACATAGATAAGTTTTTTCTTATCATTTACCCCCAGATAATATAACACAGTAACTATTCTCATAGCATTTTATATCATATTAGATAGTATAAGTCATTCAAAAATGGTTTAAAATTCATACAGGGATATGCAGAAGTCATGTGCACATACTGTACCATTTTCTGTAAGGGCTTCAGCCTCCTCATATCCAGGGTACCCGCAAGGGGTCCAAGAACAACCCCCTATAGATATTAGGGATGGGTGTATCCCTATTTTATAAGTGATGCAACTGAGGTGCCATGACTTTAGTACTTACAAATAATGCATAATGATGATATGAATGCAAAAGACACTTGTAAATTCTCTTCATGGGCTTTAAAAAATAATCTTTACAACATGAGGTAAGTACAACTACTGTACACAGAGGCACAACAAACATAAACTTGCCCCAGGTTAGACAATAGGAAAGCTACAAAGTTCAGATTCAGACTCAGCATTTTAGCCTGTTCACATCTTTGAAAGGGAATAAAAGGTATGGATGAAGTACAGCCACTTCAAGGATGCTCTTGGGTAACACTGTGGCTCCAGGCTAGCTACCCTATTATTAGAATTCTGTGTTTGTTTGCCTGCTCCTCTTGTACATTGTCCATAAAATCTACATTCAAAAGTCTTTGTGAGTTTATTTTGGAAAACCTTCAAAGAGTGTAGTGTTAGTTGTAAGTATCACAGTTCCCACTAACTTACTGTCTCCTTCGGTGAGATTTAGCATTTGATTGATTTGTTCTAGTTGAGAATTCTGCAAGATGAGAGAGAGATAGGGAGAAATAAGTCAGTGTTTTAAAGAATGACCAAGAATAATTCTTCAGCAATGGTGCATGCGTCTTACTACTGAATAAAGAAGCCAGACTAACTTGTGATTACATTCCAATTATGTCACCACTCAGAAACACAGAAGTATTTCTGTCCCTGTGTGTGTGTGTGTGTGTGTGTGTGTGTGTGTGTGTGTGTTTGCAAAGATATTGTAAATGGGAAAAGCATCTTGATAACAGCTGAAATTAAGTTGGGACGACAGATGCATGAAGGACTTGTTAAAGTTCAGATTCTGATTCAGCAATCTTGGGGGATGGCCTGAGATCTCTCATGTCCTTCCAACTTAGAACAGATGCATAGGCTAGTTCTGAGGCCACAGTTTGAACAGCAAGAGGCATTCTTTACAGAGAGGGACTCTGGGGTTACAGTAGGATAGACCAGGCTTGCAAGATCTAAGTTCTCTTGGGCCCTGTTAATCTCTAAAATATGGAACAAATTACCCATTTATACTAATGATTTTTCATGGCAGTTCCCCTGAAGCTATCTGGAACGGGAAGTAGGGAATCACCATCTGAAGATATATACACAGAAAAGAAATTCACACATCTACTAGGATCTTTTCCTATGGACTTAATTATTTTGAGAAATTTTATTGGACTTCTATCCTTTAATGTCTTCACCCATAGCAACGAGGAACAAGTCCTACCTGTACCACTTATATTTTAGGTTACTCTTCTGATTCCTTGCCCTTGGGTCTCCGCCTACCAGGAAGCTTTACCTTATCAACAGTGTCCTGGGATCTGAAGCCTAACTTCTGGACTCAGTCCAGAGCCTTATCTATGAAAAAGACCATCTCAGTATATACTGCCAGTTTTCCCAGTGTTCAACTGCCTCCTAATAGATTCTACACCACTGTTCAAAAAATGCAACACCGCACACACCCTGCTGAGTGTGTCTAAAGCAGGATTATAATCCCTGCTCTCTCTGGTCTAAGTGTCTGAGGAGAGATCTGATTCTTAAACTGTAAGAAAATGGTTTGCAAGGGAACTCAAGAGAGTGCCTAGGGTTACTATTTTGGATGTCTAAGGTGAGTTAACATACAGTAAAATGACTCTGTCCAGTTCACAGAGCATACTCACATACCTAACCTTATAGTGCCTCCACTAAGATAAGGGTCAGAGAAACAGCAGACAGTTACCCGGGAAACAGTCAAGCCAGAATGCAAACTCAATGGCTCCTTTACAGTCATGATACTGTTACTTACAGGCTTCAGCACATCGCATACGCAGTCCAGCGTGTCTGTAGGCAATGGAGTAGTAAAGCCACAGGTAGAAGGTGTTGACAATTCTCCTGCATGAGATGGCTCATAAAATGGTGCCTTCAGAAGATGGTTTAGACTACCATGTGTACCATTGTTTGGTGCTGGCTGAATGTGTAGAAGATCTGTTTTTTAAAAGTAACAATAATAAGTTCAAATTACCTTGGACATAGGTAACAACTCCTTTATGGCTTGGGGGGGGCAACTTTGTGGGCTGGTGCACAAAAATTCATGTAGGCTCACATATATATACATAAAGAAAATTAATAAACTTTTTAAAAAAGCTATACTATTAATAAAAACACATTTCTGGAAGTTAATGTAAAATCTTACAGTTTATTTATATAATTACAAAAAATTCTCTAAGGATGAATATTTTTTTTAAAACTTACAAGGCCAGTGAAATGGATCAGTAGGTAAAGGCACTTGCTTCCTGGCCTTATGGCTTGAGTTGGATCCCCAGGACCCACGTGACAACTGTAAATTGTCCCTTAACTTCCACAGGTGCTCTGTGAGACACACACACACACACACACACACACACACACACACACACACACACACGTGTGCACACACATACACACACGTACAGGCACACACACCTAGCATAATAAAAATATAAAACCAGCAAATTTTGTTCTTTAGTGAACTTTCTATTTTTCCTGTAAAAAATCGTATCAAATATATATATTGGTTTTTCGAGACAGGGTTTCTCTGTGTAGCTTTGGATCCTATCCTGGCATTCAGTCTGGAGACCAGGCTGGCCTTGAACTCACAGAGATCCGCCTGCCTCTGCCTCCCAAGTGATGGGATTAAAGGCGTGCGCCACCAACGCCTGGCTTCAGATCAAATATTTTATAGGTATCGTCATTTTAGAAGCTGAATGATAACCGGGTCGTTTGAAACTGGGCCTAACTAACCCTTTTTGCTGGCGAGGCTGTTCCTCAGGTCTAGTTAACTAGTTTTGGTGAGACAGATAGATATAGGCAAGCCACTTTTTCTCTTGCTGTCTTCCTGACTGCAGTGAAAGGACGCCTCCTAGTGGATGCTTTTATGCCCATACCAGTTATCCCAAACGCTTCACTGATGCCTTTCTGCCAAAGACGGTAGGGGATGTCCTCTGCTCCTGAGGGCAGAGCCGCAGCCGCGTTTCCAGTCCTTCCTAATGAACTTTGCATTATCACAGTCCACTACGAACTGTAGCTGATCCGGCGGTCATTCCCACCTGGGTCAGACAGAGAGGCACCACTTCTACTTAGCTGTGACTAGCACTACAATTGGTAAGAAACACAAGTCTCGAAAACTGTGATTGGTGCTAGGAGACAACGGTCTGATTGACCCAAACAAATGGCTGTGACTAGTCCAAACCGGTTGCAGTGCACCCAGTGAGTGGGCTGGAAGGTAATCTCCTGCACCGCCTCCCCTGAGGCTGCAGTATCAGCCCCCACCCATCCCCAAGGCTTGTCTTGCGGGGGCTGTCTTTGTGGCCTGTGGTCAGCATTGCAGACTGCGCTTGTAGCACAAGGAAAGCAACCACAGAGA